TAGCAAACATGAAAGGAGTATACAGATGTTCTGTACAGCAGAGATAACATCTAAAATACTTTAAAAAACAGTCCTTATTTACAAAAACCTCTAGTATTAGAATATGTGATAAGACTACTGCTGTGGTTGTTCCCAAGGAGCAAAACTGCAGGAACTGATGAAATAGATAAAAATATAGCTGGGGCTGGGGTTAGCCCTTCTCTCATGAATGTAGTTGAAGACCCAGGCCAAATTCTATGGAAGAAGTAGGTTTAAAAAAAATATCAAGGTGGCCATCACCATTCATTGACCCTTTTTTATTTTGCTATATATAAAAAGAAAGTGGGGAACTGATCGCTTCTGTAGTCCCGTTTTGACTATTTTAACACAACCAAGTCAGGGACACCCTTATACAGGTAGTCCTCAACTTACAACAGTTCACTTAGTGACCATTCAAAGTTACGGCAGCACTGAAAAAAGTGACTTACAACCATTTTTTAAACTTATGACCATTGCAGCATCCCCATGGTCACATGATTTATTTGGATGCTTGACAACTGACTCACATTTATGACCGTTGCTGGGGGGGTTGTCACGTGATCTCCTTTTGTGACCTGACAAACCAAGTCAATGGGGAAACCAGATTCACTTAACGACTGTATTACCAATTTAAGAACTGCAGTGATTCACTTAACCACTGTGGCAAGAAAGGTTGCAAAATAGGGCAAAACTCACTTAACAAATTTCTCACTTAACAGTATAAATTTTGGCCTCAATTGTGGTCGTAACAATCTGTAAAATATGCAAGGTTGTGGGGTTTTTTAAAAGTATTTTTGGAGCAAACCATTACAGCATGGAATGGAGTGGCTGTTCCAGCAAGAGAGGTCAACCGAAGAACACCTGGTAGCTGCTTACCTGGTCTGATCCTTACACAATGAGGGTGGGTCTCCTGAAAATGTCAAATTAAAGTAAGGCCAATTGTATCCGGAACAATGCCGTGTGGGATTTAGCAAGCCGATTCTGTAGGTAGGTGTGTGTGTGTCTCTGCTGTGTGTATGTGCTTTGGTCTGTGGTTCTTTGTTTTTAAGCGATTGCATGTCTGCTGGTGCAAATCCTGGACAGGCCTCTGTGTGTGCGTGTGTGTGTTATTTCAATTAAGGCTGCAGCCAGAAGTAGCTGGCATCTGGAAGCGAAGGGAGGGGGGGAGATTTTCTCGTACCACCCCCAGCGACTGAAACAACAGCCTGACTAAAAATAGCCCTTGTTTTCTGTCCTGCCGCTCCTTGCAGCTCGGTTAGTCATCGCCGATCCCTAAAATAAAAGTTCGGTCCTGGTAGCCCGTGTAAACAAACTGGGGAGAAGGGGGGACGGGGGGGGGGAGCAGAAGGGAGTCCCCTCAGCTTGGCGACGGCAGCCGCCAGCCGAGCCAGAGCCGGGGCCGGCGGGGTCCGGCGAGCAGGCAAGAACATCTGGCGGTGGGGCCAGCGGCGCGCCGCAGCGAGGCGGCCAAGGTTACTTGGCTGCAGTTCTTTGCGAACTCCCTCGGCCTTGGAGGCCGGCCACGGTCGCCTCGGCAACGGCATTAAACAGGAGGCAACAGACCGGGGATCCCGTCATTTCGGCGCAGAAGAAGGCAGCAAAGAAAGCATTCAGAGCAGACAGGAAAGGAGGGAGCCGCTTCTGGTCCCCGCGCCGCAAGCCGGCCAAACCAAGAAACCGCGGCCCTCGCCCCCCGCGCCGCAACCCGGCCTTGGGGAGGGAGGGACGGACGGACGGACGGGGTGAAAGAGGACGGGGGCTTGCAGCTCCGGCCAACGGCCCAGCCGCATCTTGCCCACGCCAAGCGGGGCCTCCCGCTGGGGTGACCCGGCTGGCGTCGAGCTGGGCTTCTTCCTGCACCCTCGTGGGGGATGCGAGGGTCGATTCGTGTCCCCGTGGCGGATAGACGCCCGTTTCCAAAGATGCGGCCCTTTCCCACGAAAAAAGAAGCCAGGGCGCGCCTGGCAACTTAAAAGGCGCTAAGAGGAGGAGGAGGAGGAGAAGGAGGGGTTTAGAAGGGGCAAAGGGTGAGAAGAGAGGGCGGGCGGGCGCGTGCTAGTTCAGCCTCATCTCAAAACAGACGGTGGGGGAATAGGGTGGGCTCAGCAGACAGGACGGCGTGCTCATTGCAAGCCATCCTCGTGGGATTTGCAACCCGAGAGGAGACCCGAGGACGACGTATCAAGGGCGGGCGCGCGCTGGCGCGCACTTACACACAGGAGCGAGCACGAGGACAGTGGTAGATGGATCTGCGTGACCACCTCGGGGTTTCTGAACCCTGCATTTTTAGATGTGTGGAGCCCCTTCACACGGGTCGCCGTGGGATGGCCGCCAGTTCTCCGCATTTAACACCGTGAAGCGGTATATAAATCTAAGTGCTATTGCTATTGGGGTCTTCTGGCGGCGAATCAAAGAAAAAGGAGCGGTCCTCCATGAGATCTACCGCCTCACCCCCGTCATGGTTTAATCATGGGGTCGCAAATGTAATAGCGAATAAATTTTTCATCCATCTCCGCATTTGTAATTCAAGAGCATCTTTTTTGCGGGCAGCTCAATTTTGTGTTGCCGAAAATGGAGAGGATGGCAGTGGGGTGTGTGTGTCATGTGTAGTAAGTCCGGGTCCGCAGCTCTGGAGTGGTAAATGGTGGGAACTGTGCTGTCCTTGGCAGTGCAGGTGGCCAAGATTATGAATGCATAAGCGGCTATAATCGTTTCTGCACAGGAAAAGTACTGACAAGGAGTGGTGTGATTCGGGTGTGCATTTCGATTGTGCAGCCCTTCCTCGCAGCCTGCAATATACGTTGTTTGGACGTCCGGACTTAACATCTGCTGACTAGTCGGTGTACACGGTCAACAACTCATATTCTCTATTGCAACTAAGTTAGATTGCTTTCCTCTTCTCTTTACAAATCGGCCTAATCAATGAACTGCCATTTTACTGCTGGGGAGAGTCAAAGGCGGGTTCTCAGAAGTCTCCAACTGGTTCCTCTACCTGGGAAATGTAGAGGAACACTGCAGGCTGCAGTGTTGCAAACGGAACGGGAAGTTGGTTACTCCAAAAGTCACCAAAAACTAAACGGACAGCTAGCGTTGATCACTCCCCACTTACATTCTTGCTCACTTTTTACCCGATCCCCGCCTACCCACAATGAAACCTTTTCACACTTCCCCGAAGCCCGAGCCTAAGAATTTGGAAAGGGTGAAGTCATTTCGACAGGCACACGCTGGGAGAAGCTGCCTAAGAAGCAGGGGAAAAGGAAACGGCTGGAAGACAGAAATACTGCCATTGGTAGTGGATCGCAAGAGGGATTCCCTACCCCCACCGCCAAGAAAGTGCATGGAAAGCTCACAGAAGTACAATTCCCATCAACTCTCGCCAAGACTTTCTACAGCTGCCACAAAATCAGGGCCACAGTTAAACCCGAGCTCTCAACTACCGGGGACTTTAAGCGGTTTGGAAATAAGCTAGAGATGGAACTATTCGTTTTTATGGCACCCGTTTAGTACTGTAGTTGTACTGCTGCCCAGTGTGCTCTGCACAGAACCTAATGGTGATGATGCCTACTGCAGTTGGCCTTAACCACAGTTACCCATAGTTAATGCCCATGTAACTATTAGTAGCAAAGAATCCGGAATGTTTGATGCAGTGGAGACGAGGGCACTCGGTTCACAAGTGGCACAGATGAATACATCCCATAACACAGAGCAAGCTTTTGCATTTCAAAGAAACTTATTGCAAGGAACCGCGAGAGGACCCCTTTTTTAATTAGTTCCTTCGAAGCTGCACGCGCGGAAAAAAGCACGGGCGCTCGCCTTCCTCCTCTTCTCAACTGCAGGGGCGCTAAACTTTGCACAACAGCGGGCGCACGTGGCTGCCACGGCGTGGCTCCGTCGCAAGTTCAGCGCCGTGGCTAAAACTTTCTCTGTCCGCAGGAATTTTTGGCAAAGAAACGTCGCCCCCGCTACGATTTCTATTCCGTTCGGTCAACTGTGCAAAACCGATGCCCGAGATGGCATCTTTTTTTTCCCCGCAGAGCAGAAGGATCCGAAAATCTGACTTCCCTTTTCGTTGCTTTGGCTTCGCCGCCTTTTTCCTCCCCCAAGAAAGAAGAAGGAGCTTCTGTTTGGAACTCCAAGCATGGTGGAATTAATTTGTTTCACCGCCCAGTTCTTTCTTTGCCAACCGGAAAGGAGTTGTGATCTTCCTTTTGGCAATTGGGAAAGGAAAAAAGAAAAAAAGCTTGGTGATACAGTAGATAGCGCCTGCCTTGGGAGACACGCTAAACAGAAAATGGGGAGTGGAGAGCGCCACTAACAGGGACTGCAGCCTCTGCTGTCCATTTCATCGGGGGTGGGGGTGGACAGCACCTTTACAGCGGGAGGAGCTCCAAGTTTAAAACTCGATCTACCCGCACTGCTTTGGAAAGCCGCTCAACGCTGTTGACAGATTTACAGAATAAGAAGAATGTCAATGCAACTAATGGGTTGGGACTCTTCCCGGTTTCTCAGTACTTGCACAGAAACGGGTCTTTCCTTGCTGTTGCTTGCCAATCGGCGCTCTTTTCCAAATTTCCAGAGAAGTCGACTTTTTTTTAAAGTCTCCACGATTTCAGCACACATAGGCTCCCAAACCCTTCTTCCATCCCTCCCGTAGTTACTGCAGGATTACTGAAACTAAGGGAGTTCCCCATCCCCCCTGCTCACGTCATCCTCAGCCCCCCCCCTTTGCGGCTCCTAAAGACTCGAAAAGCCAATGGGCTGCTTAGGGTTGGGGGGGTTATATGGGCTCCTCTCTCGGCCTCCCCGCTCGGCTTCCAAGCTTCCCCCCCCCCTACCGTCGTTGGGCTCCTTTGCAAAGGCAGCCAAGAGTCGCTCGCGGGAGCTGTGACATCACGGGGCTCTGGGCGGGGAGAGGGGCTGGGAGGGGGAAGGAGGGAGGGGGGGTGTTTTCCAGCTTTAAAAAGGCAACCAGCGCCGGGCTGCCCTGCGTCAGAGAAAGCCCGAACGAGATTCTGCAAACTTCCCTGAGCAAATTAAAAGCCCCGGTGTCGAATTAAGGCGGCCGAAGAGAGGGAGCGAGGCGCGCGCTCAGACTTGAAAACTTCCTCGAGTCGGCAGGCGGGTGGCAGGCGGGCGCGCGCTCTCTTCCCTTCTCCCGGGAGCCGGAGCCCTCGCGCGCTCGCCTTGCAACCCCTCCCTCGCGCGCCGCCTCTCTTTCTCCTTCCTCCCCCCCCCCAGGCCCGCTTCGGGACGCCTCCCGGAGGGGGGCCGCTGCCTCAGAGCCCAGCGCCTCTTTAAAACTTCATTCCGAAAAAGTCCTCCAATAAGCAACAGCCGCCGCCGCCGCCGCCGCCGCCTGGCCTTTCCAAGGCTGCGGTTGACGGGGCAGTGCCAACCTCAACTCTGCCCTTTCTGCCGTCCTGAGAGGCGCCGGGTGGCATAAGCGGGACGTTGGACCGAGAGAGAGAGACCACCTCTACCTCTTCTGCCTTCCCCCGCCTTCGCCTTGGGCGAAAGCGGATGCCCGGCGGTGATCCTGTTAACTCCGAGCCGCTTCGTGCCTCCAGAGCCAGCCGACGGAGTGAAAGAGAAACTCGGGCTCTGCTTCCAGCCGCAGCGCACGCAGAATGAAATCGGCCGAGGAAGGTAAAAAAAAAAAAAAAAAAAAAAGTCGCGCTCAGCCTGCGCTGCTTGGCTCCCTCCGGCCGGCCGGTTTCCCTCTTCTTTTGCCCCCTTCTTCTTTTGACGGGCGTTTGCTTGCCTCGCTTCTGAGCGCAGGCTGAGGAGAGCCGCACCGGGGGAGGGGGGGAAACCCGGGAGGGACTGGCCGGCCGGGTCGTGGCGCTGACGGCCGAGCTGGGGAGGAGGAAAGCGGTGCCCCCCCCCGGGTGTTTCCCCAAAGCCGCCCCGAGGTTCGCCTGCTGCGACGTCTTGCCAATAGGTGTCTCCTCCTCCCCGCGCCTTTTGGCGAGTCCCTCGCTGAGGAGAGACTTGGTCTCCCGTGCATTTTGGGGCGGTGGTGGGACGGTAGTGGTACCTCGAGGTCCTTTAGGGTGGGCGAAATTGCCCTCGGCTGGGTGAGGCGCGGGTAGGTGGCTCGGATGCGCGACCGAAACCGGGGGAAACCCGTCGGAAAGCAGAGCGGCAGCCTTGGGAAACCAAAGGAATCTCAGGGAGCCAGTGGGAGTTTTCGGTGTGCAGTTGTCGGGCTGCCCAGGTCCTCGTACGTGTCAATGCCTCACAGAGTTACTAACAGTGTGCAGAATTCATTCCAGCCCATCCAATTACTTGTAACCACTAAATGCTAACATTCTATAGCGCAGGCTGGGTTATGATGAAATGCCTTTTTTTAAAAAAAAAAAAAAGCTTTGATAGAGCACACCCTATAATTTAAACCGCTTGTAAGGTTTACCCAAAAAAAAGTTCTCTCTTAGAGTCAAGGAACAGTCGGAAACCTCAAAAATGGCACTGGTGCCACCCACCCTTTCATACTGTCTGCTTTATTGGTTGGGTTATCTTAAAAAATCCGTTTTGTTTACTAACAGGTGTTTCAGCCATTCTGACTGTAAAGCCTACTTTTCTGGTGTGACAGCTTAGGTCCTTATGAAGAGGGTTTTTATTATTATCATTAGCAGTTGCACAGAAGCAAAGGGAATGCCTCTTGCTAGGTTTTATTGAAGCAATTCAGATGTAAGTGGTTTGGAAACAAAAGCACTTCTGTCTATAAACAAGATAGATTGGAATAACTGGATTTAAGCAGATGGGCAGCCCAATCATATTTATCCTGACAACACTGCGCGCACGCTATAACATTAATACTATCTCTTTGGAGAATCAGTTTTTATTAGAATTTTGAATTCAATAGAAGTATAAAAATTGAAGAAAAACAAAAAGAGAAGACAGGAAAAAAGAAAAAAAGGAAATTAAAATTATGACTTCTGCTCATTTTTCTATCAAGTAGTGTCATTTTGATATCACCTCGATTTGCTGAGCACAGCTATCCTTTCATACCATAAGTTGAAGAATTCAGTTTCCCTTCCTGTAGTACAGAAAGTGTATAATAAACATTAAATAACAACATTCTTGCATAGAAAGATAAGCAAAACCAGAATGCTTTACTCCATTACGAGAATTAGTACTAGTTACTGAGACATATGAAGAAGTTTTGATGTCCATCTACTCAAAAGCTTTGTGTTGCTTACAAAAAGTACAGTGTGTGGAATGAGAACAGGCCTGAGGTCACATCCATCTTTTCTAATGATCTTAAGGGGTATAGAAAAGCCATATCTTCATTGTTCAGAGAAGACTTCTATTTGGAAAAAATAAATGCTTTGAGTAGCCTCTGGATGAGAAAATGGATTATAGATTACATAAATATAAATTAATTTAGAAATTACTTAAAACATCCGTGTGCTCACTGTACAAAGTCATGAAATCCCTTCCTTGTGGATTTCCCAGATAAAACATTGTACTCCAGACATTGCTAAGAAGGCAAGCCAAAATTCCAGAAATAATGTGATCCTATGCATATTTAGTATGGAGAACTTTTGAACCCATTTGAAGTCACTCCTGAAATGTTGAGGTTTTTTTTTAAAGCTTGACATGGTAGTAGCATGAAGGACCCTCATACCAGGGCTTCTGTTCAGACAGATTAAAGTCCCTTCACATGTCTTCACAGCCCAAAACTTACTTTAAAAGATTTCTTGTGGAGAAAGGCAGATACTATCCAGAAGATGGAGATGCAGTCCTGGCTGAAATCCAAGATACCATGTTGGGTTCCATTGCTAGTCTGTTTGATCAAGGTGTCAGATAGGCAGCATTACAGGTACTCTGTTTTTGCACCAGTATTTTTACTATCTGGATTGTTTCCTCCATAATTAGATTTATTTATGCAGAAGCCCACTGTTATCTACCATGTTTGATTACCAATTGTGCTCTGAATCAGAAAATGTTCAAAGGCCTTCTTTTGAACTAATTCATGCCTTTATGCACTCGGTTGCAGAACATTCTTGTTGCTATCTGTCTTTTTGGGGCTGGATAAACAGTCTGGTCTGACTTCAGCCACTGCCACTCTTGATGGCTGTGGACATTGGTGTCCGCCAATCTTAACTGAAAACATCAAGGAACTTAAGCAAAATGAGGCGCTTCCTCAAAAGGCGAACTCAAACCTGAAGGTCCAGCGCAATGTGGACCTCTGGGAGAAACAGCAGATATTTAGCTACTAAAGTCCATATGGTTCAGAGATATTTGTGGATGAAGATGTGTGGATAGGCCTAAATTCTTGGAAACAACGAGGTTTTCTGTCATATTTTGGGTTGATAATAGAAACTAAAGCAGAAGTTAATGAGGCTACCCTGTTTTTCTTTAGAGAAGGCTCATGCCATTTTTAGGCTTTTTAAAAAGATATCTTAAAGAATTTTACAGGCCCATGTAGCTCTTTTATTCTTTCTTGCTCACAAACATGCACTTAGATCAGAAGATTGCAATTAAAATATTTCTGCTTTGATTTTATTTCACTTGGGCCTGATCCCATCTGATGAAATTGCCGCTTCTGAGTGGCTTCCATACACTTCTGTGTGGCTTCCATGGGTCAGTCCACCCTGTGTAACCAGCTACCTGCTGTTACATGAGAAGCCTTTCTTAGAAGCCACATATTCCAAGGTCAGGTCTTTTCTGCTGCAACAATCTAGTCTTATGCTACTATGTGGTTCAGCATTGACTGATTTCTTTTAGCTGCCACATTAGAATTTTTTAGATTGCCCAGACTTTTAGATATGCTTATTTGTGGGATTCCTGTTTCATTTAGTTAATCATTGGCATATTTTGACATTTTCTGGAGTTTTTAAATTACCTATTGTTTTATCTGTTTCATTATATTTTATGATAGCCGTTATGTATCTGGATTCAAAATTGGAACATAGGTCTGAAAATGTCATTAATTGATTTACTACTATGTGCAGCTAGAAATTAATGTTTCTTCTTTAGAGTTGATATAGAAAATTGTCAGAAGATAAAGACAGACTGAGAAAATTTTCACCTTGACTCTGGGAGGTTTGCAGTGTTGAAATGTGGAACGTGCTAAGGCAAATCTCAAAAAGGACCAGCAGAAAGAGAGGGGGACTGCATATACTGTCAGTTAACGACTTTTTAACAAGCTAGACAGTTGTGTTTAATATGCATAATATGTTTTTGACATTCCGTGGACAGTTTTCATTGTGGAAGATCATAGTAGCAGAAAGAATGCTACTATAATTAAGCCTTACTAAGGTTCTGAACTTGAGAGAAAATTAAAAACAGATAAAAGTACAACATTACACATATGCTTGAAATGATTTATGGTTTACGTGTAATAGGCACCACATTTCCAGTTGTTTAGTGGACTTTTTAACCACTGGTTTATCTTCCTAAACTTTAAAGCAAGCAATCCAATGAATTATCTATTATGGAAAAGCACAAATGAGCCCAAAGCAGTTCTGAGCAACTTTGATGAACTGTGGGAGACGTGCAGTTTCCAGACTCAGGAAGAATCAACTGGTGCCAGAGGACTATTAGCAGGATATATTGATGGTAAAGTTCTATTTTGGTTTGTAAGTCATATGAATGTGTTCCATAAAGATAGTTCTCAAATGAATATATAAACCTGTGCAACAGAACAGATAGCAAGATCACCATTTGCTTTGCACTGTAATACCATAATTGTAACATTTTGTCATTAGCCATACAGGCTAAGCTTGATAGGAATTCTCCAAACCTCCTGGAGGACATCAAGTTGTCTGTGTGGTCTGAACTGTATTCTCTCTTGCATAAAAAAAATGGTTGGTCAATAAGCCATATTCCTCTTCAGAACTTCCTGTACCTTAGGTAGATGAACTACTTGTACTATGTTTCCACTTTGATAAACATATCATTTTGATAATATTGTAATAATAATGTGGATAATAATAATAACTGACAGCAAATGCCACCTTTGCAAAGAAGCTGAAGAAACAGTGGACCATTTAGTTAGCAAGAAGATCACACGGACTGATTACAAACAGTGGCATAACAAAGTGGCAACAATGGTGTATTGGAATATCTGCAAGAAATGCCATTTGCCTGCAAGCAAGAACCTATGGGGCCATAAAATAGACAAAGTAATAGAAAATGAAGACACTTAAGTGCTTTGGGACTTTAGAATTCAAACAGACAAGCACCTGCCACATAACACTCCAATTTAGCAATTGTTGATAAGTAATACAAAAAGATTTAGATAGTGGAGGTGGCAGTACCTGGAGATAGCAGAATAGAAGAGAAAGAATGGGGGGTGGGGGGTGGAAACACAAAATGCAAAGACCTGCAAATGGAAGTAGAATGACTATAGCAAAAGAAAGCAAAGACAGTCCCAATAGTGTAGGCACCTTGGGTGCAATCCCAAAACATATGAGCGCTACTTGAATACCATCGGCATTGACAAAATTACTGTCAGTTGCAAAGGACAACATTTCTTGGAATAGTTTACATCCTGTGACAATACCTTTAACACCATCAAATAACATCTGCCTATCCCAGGTCCTTGGGAAGAACTCAATAGGTAGATAACAATGCCAAATCCAGTATAAACATCTGGCTGACTGTAACCATAATAAGACGTGAATAGCAAAGTACAA